GTGTGTGTGTGTGTGTATGTGTGTGTGTGTGTGTGTGAGAGAGAGAGAGGGGGGGGAGAGAGAGAGTGTGTGTGTGTACACATACCATGGCACATGTGCAATCAGAGGACAATTTGTGGGAGTTGATTACCCTTCCACTATGTGGGTATCAAAATGGAAGTCAGATTGTCAGGTTTGGTCATAGACACTTCTTTACATGCTGAACCATCTCACTATCCCTGAAAGTTAAATCTATGTTTATCTATCAATACTCAGTAAAGAGCAGTCTGTTTCATTCTGAGAGGTGTTTCTGAAACTTGCCCCAAACTTGTGTATAAATACTCAATAAATATTTATGTGCTTGTTTAACTTGTAATCATTTTGCTGATCAGCTGTTTTTGTTTTTCTAAATGCACACAAACATTGAACTTTTTTTCTTGAAGATGAGGAAGGGGGTTAGAGGAGGGGCTTTCCCCAGGAGGGAAGAAACTGACTAGAAGTTTTTTCTTCAAAAAGTACAGCTGTCTTACCATCACTGAGCCATTAGTTCTTTTCATTTCTTTAAAAATAACTTTTTAGCTGGGCAGTGGTAGTGCACACCTTTAATCCCAGTACTTGGGAGACAGAGGCAGGCGGATCTCAGTGAGTTCAAGGACAGCTATGACTACAAAGAGAAACCTTGTCTCAAAAAAATAAAAACAAAACCACATTTTTTAAAAGTTATGAAAGTAGAAGGGGGAGTGAGTGGGAGGAGAAAGGCTGTGGAGGGTAATGAGAAGTGATATGAACTGTATGTATGTGATACATACAAAAGATCATTTAATATAAGAATAAATAACATATGCTAATTATATATGCCAGAGACTTGGCCCAGTGGGTAAAACTACTTGCTGCCAAGCCTGACAACCTGAGTTCAGTACCCAGGGTTCCACATAGTGAAAGGGGAGAACATATTTCCCTAAGTCATCTGCTGACCTCCATATGTATGCTTCTTTCCCACTAAATGAATAAGTAACTATTATCTAAAGTTTTATAGATGCTAATAAAAACATTTGAAAAATTAAAATCATAGTCAGTGGTGCAGGAGAGATGACTCAGTGGTTAAGAGTACTGGCTACTTTCCAGAGCTCCTGGGTTCATTTCCCAGCATCTACCTGGCAGCTCACAACAGTCTGTAACTGCACTTCCAGGGTATCTGATGAATCTCAATATAGTTTTGTATTGCATTTTTTTTTTTTTTTGGTTTTTCGAATGTCATCCCTGCTCCTTTATGCCAGCCACTAGAGCTGTGTTCCAGTTGTCAGTCCACTGTTGACTAATGTGTTGTGAGCCTATCAGTAGGTGGGTCATCTGCCTCCTGAGTGCTGGAATTAAAGGCATGTGCCACCAACACCCGGCATGATTCCCTCTTAAGGCCTCTCTCAGCACCAGGCTTGCATGTGGTACACATACATAATGCAATCAATATATCTATACACATAAAAATTAAATTTAAAACTTCATAGTCAAAGAATATATTTATATGGACATTTCTTAAAATTTAAAAAGCTAGTAATGTAATAAGAAATTAAAAATATCAAAATTATTTTGTGGTAGATTTTCATACTAAATGACACTTAAAATTCCAAACCCCAAATGTGTGCAGCATTTATGTGTCACATATCAGATATCCTGCATATCAGGTTTTTATATTACAATCCATAACAGCAAAATTACGGTTACAAAATAGCAACAAAATAATGTTATTGTTGGGGTTCACCACAATATATGAGAGGGTCACAGCGTTAGGAAGATTGAGCACTGATGACCTAGACATTGACTTGACTCACCCACTAACAGTAAGGAACACATATCTTGGCATTTATGAGAAAGGAGATGTGGAAGAATGTATTCATTCCAGGTTTTTAAAATATTTTTAAGATTTATTTTATTTTATGTATATTTGTGTCTTGCCTGCATGTGTGTCTGTGTGAGGGTGCTAGATCCTCTGGAACCAGAGTTATAACAGCTGTGAGCTGCCATGTGGGTGCTGGAAATTGAACCTGGGTCCTCTGGAAGAGCAGCCAGTGTTCTTAATTCCTGAGTCATCTCTTCAGCCCCTGTATCCAAGGGTTTTTTTTTTTAAGATTTTATTTATTTATTATGTATACAAAATTCTACTTCCAATTAATTATGTATACAACATTCTACTTCCATATATATCTGCACACCAGAAGAGGGCACCAGATCATATAATGGATGGTTGTGAGCCACCATGTGGTTGCTGGGAATTGAACTCAGGACCACTGGAAGAACAGCCGGTGCTCTTAACCTCTGAGCCATCTCTCCAGCCCCCAGGGTTTTTTAAAAATTTATTTTATTTCATGTGTATTGGTGTGAACGTGTCAGGTCCCCTGGAACTGGAGTCACAGACAATTGTGAGCTGCATGTGGATGCTGGGAATTGAACCTATAGGTCTTCTGGAAGAGCAGCCAGTGCTCTTGACCACTGAGCAATCTCTACAGCCCGTATTCCATATTTTTAAGTTTTATTTTTGTTATTATTACTTTGTATGAATGTGCTGTTTTGCCTCACATGTTTGTATACCATGTGCATGAAGTGCCTCCAGAGGCCAGAAGAGGATGTTGGATTCCCTGGGACTCGAGTTACAGATGGCTGTAATCCACCATGTAGGACCAAGGGATCAAACCTGAGTCCTCTAGAAGAGTGACCAGTGAGTGCTCTTAACTGTTGAACAATGTCTCCAGCCCCTAGCCCCCAGATTTTTGTTGTTTTTGGTGTTCTGGAACTCATTGTATAGAGCAGACTAGCCTTGAGATCCGTTCACCTCTGCCTCTGAGTGCTTGCATTAGATTTTTTTTTTTTTTTAAGTTGCATGTAGGGCTGAAGAGATGGCGCAGCAGTTAAGAGCACTGGCTGCTCTTCTAGACGTCCTGAGTTCAATTCCCAGTAACCACATGGTGACTCACAGCCATCTATGAGATCTGGTGCCCTATTCTGATGTGCAGACAGAACACTGTATACATAATAAATAAATAAATCTTAAAAAATAGAGTTGCATGTAACAGGCTGGCCTTGAACTTACTATTAAGATGAGATTGGGCTTGGACTCATGTTCCTTCTGTTTCTATTCCCAAGTGCTGGGATTGTAGGTATCTGCCACTGTGCCTGGCCAAGGACTTCAAATTCTTGTTGGTTTTCAGACAGGGTATCACTGTATTTCTATACCAGGATGGCCTCAAATTTGAAGACATCCACTTGTCTCTGTCTCATCAGTGTTGGTATCAAAGGTGTGTGCCAGCACATCAGGCACTACTTGGAATTCTTTAGTGTTCATAATATAGGAGATTTCACTTTATATGTTTAGAGTACTTTGAAAATTTTTTTACAGGCTGGCTAAAGTGGTGGTGCATACTTTCATCCCAACACTGGGAGACAAAGGCAGGTAGATCTATGAGTTCAAGGCCAGGCTGGTCTTACATAATGAATACCAGGACATCCAGGGCTGTGTAGAGAGAACCTGTCTCAAAAAAAATGGGGGGAGGGCATATCAGAAAAAAAAAAACAGAGAAGATAAAAACAGCCCTGATAGGAAAATAATTTGGTAATTTTTAAACCATGGAGATTGACTTTATTCAATGATATTAAGGACATAATGTCAACAAGTTATTAAAGTGATTTTAAACATGAAGTGTCACTTGACATGTTATTAAAGTAATTTTAAATCTATAGAATTTAACTTGCTATAGATGTTAATGTTATTTTTACCTTGTTACCCATTTGAAAATGCTATAGAATGTATTCTAAGAATTGTATGGATATGCTCACAAAGGATTTAAAGATTTAATGTGTATGTGTGTTTATGTATGAATACAGCTGTCTGTGGGGGCCAGAAGAGCTCACTGGATGTCCCTGGAACTGGAGTTAGAAGTAGTTCTTGGTCATATGATGTGGTTGCTGGGAACTATACTTGGTACTTGAAGCACTCTTAACTTGGAGCCAACTCTCCAGCCCATCCTGAAGGATTTAAATCTCTCATGGAGATTCAAGAGATTGCACTTAGGATATTTAGATTCATTACTATAGAAAATTTATTTTTGAATACTTAACTGTATTTGAGTGAACATTATATGATAGTCCTTTTTGAAGTTTCCAATACTAAGTATATTGTTTTGTATTATCACAACTATTTTATGAAGTCGGTCTCATCAAATTTATAGAGAATAGGGATCATCTTCCAGAGTCACACATGGGGCAGAAGCTGGAATTTTAAAATCCCCCCACCACGTTATTAGCCTATAGCCTCTCCAAATGCTGTGATAGTTACTGAATAATGATTACAGGAGTGGAAACATGACTGTTTAAAGGTCTCTTCACTCCTGAGAGATCCTATGTGGCTATAAGAGAGAGGGTGAAAGAGACAAAACTACACAGAGCTCCCTGACAGTAGGTTCCACATAAGGGTTTTATAACACAAATAATAAAAGACCTAGAGACAGATGTTGGGGTTCAAGCTTCAAGCTGAAGATTAAAGCAGCCAAGCCGGTGGATCTTACCTCTGCCAAGCTGAAATGGCAATCCTGTCTCCATGAATTCTCAGAGTCCAAAGCTCTCAGTTCCTGTCTCCTCCTGTCTTTTATTCTTTTCTTCACCCAGCCATATCACTCCTGTCTCTACTTCCATAGTGCTGGGGTTAGTCATGTGATCCCAGGTACTGACATCACCTTTGTATGAGTGATTTCTTTTAGGACTGGATCCATTTTGTGTAGTCAGTGTGGCCTTGAACTAATAAGAGATCCGTCTACCTCTTAATACTGAGTTCTGGGATTAAAGATGTGTACCACCACTGCCTGGCTTCTATGGCTAACTAGTATGGCTGCTTTGCTATTTTGATCTCCAATGGCTTTAATAAATCATAAACAATATATCACCTCACGGTTTCATTTGTCATTAGTTTCTGTCCATGGCTTGCTTGGTACTAAACTGGAACATTTTTCCTGGCATGACCAATGTAAAAGGGAATTTATTTTTTTGTTGTTGTTGCTTTTTGAGACAGGGTTTCTCCATGTAACAGACTGTCCTGGAACTTCCTCTGTAGACCAAACTGGCCTCGAGCTCACAGAGATCTGCCTGCCTCTACCTTCTGAGTGCTGGTATTAAAGGCATGCGTCACCACTGCCTGATGGGAACTTAATTTTTGATCTGTAAATTACATTTGTTACATGTGTTCAGAGCTGTACTGTAGGAACCTTGACTAGTAAAAATGGGAAAGAAAAAAGACACACATCAAAAACAAAATTGTAAATCAGTTCTCCTTAACAGAGCAGTTAATATTTTTTGAGAAGTCTGTTATGTCTTCATAGATTTTGGTTGTTGAATTAACAAAAGTAATGCATGTGAATCCCAGTTTCCTATTTATTTCATACCCTCCTTAATAGCTGAATTCTCTTAGTGGAATGAGAAGATACTTGATTTTGTGTGTCTAAATATTTATGTGACTCCTTTTCCACCAGCTAAAGGAACTCTCAGTGAAGATACTATCAGAGTGTTTCTTCATCAGATTGCAGCAGCCATGCGAATCCTGCACAGTAAAGGAATAATCCACAGGGATCTCAAACCACAGAATATCTTGTTGTCCTATGCCAATCGAAGGAAGTCAAATGTCAGTGGTATTCGTATCAAAATAGGTAAATAGCTATAAATTGCTTCATGAAAAGGACATTTCCAGACAGTAACTTATATCATTTTAGTTCAGATTTATTAGACTAATAGATTTTATTGATGTTATTTAGAAATTGTTAGAGGGTTCAATGAGACCTGTTTAGATATCGAGTCTTTTTTTTTTTTAAATCTAAGAAGGGCCAGATGCTAAGCCTGCTTCTCTGGGAGGGGAGCTGATATAGTATGCTTACAGGCAGCCAGTCACTAACATGACTCAGATGTCAAGAGGGCCTCACTCAGCCTGTGCTGTTGCTTTTAGTGCTTAAAGTAGTGTTTGAAGGTATTAGTGAAGAGAGTTCAAATTGTAAGTGATGTAATTGATGTTTGATGAGAGATATGTTAATTAATAATTCATTATAATTAGCATCTTTACTTGCAAAGACTGAGGGTCCTTGGTTAAATAGCTGGTAAAGTAGTGACTTACATAGTTGACTGTTGCTACTATTTTTAACTTCTTTAAATTGAGATAGCTACTTATTTTCATTGTTGTACAGACTTTTTTGATAAACATTTTATTTTTCACAGTTCTTTTATATCTTATGTGTCTTACAGAATTATATGATATTTATAAAGTGTGAGCAAAGTATCATTTGGTCTTTTTTTTTAATTTTGTGAAACAGCTGATTTTGGTTTTGCACGTTATCTACATAGTAACACAATGGCAGCAACACTGTGTGGATCCCCAATGTACATGGTGAGTGAGAAGAACTTCTGTATATTGTTGTTATTAATTACGTTAACAATAATTTAATTACACAGACACCTTGCTTAGCTTGGTGGAATTAAAAGTTGTTTCACACTGGGTTTTTTTTTTTTGACTCTTTTAAATTTTTTTTATTATTTTATGTGGTTGGGTATTTTTCCAGCACATATGTCTGTGCACCACATGAATGCAGTGACAGAGGATGCCAAAAGATGGTATCAGATGCTCTAGAACTGGAGTTATAGACATTTCTAAGCCATATGGGTGCTGGGAATTGTGCCTGGATACTTTGGAAGAGCAGCTGGTACTCTTAACCGCTGAGCCATTTCTCCAGTCTCCTGTTTTTATTTATTTGTTTTGTTTTTTGGTGTGTGTGTGTGTGTGTGTGTGTGTGTGTGTGT